AGTTTTAGTATGTTGTTTATCTGTCTAGCTGTCAATAACTGTCCCATCTCATTGAAGATAATCTTAGCCATTTCTGTTGTCTTTATGATTTTTGCTTCATTTCAACTAATATTCTGCCGTCATTTGTTATTACGTGTCCAAGGTAGAACACACTTGTTACTTGTTTTAATATCCCTCCATGTCTTCTTCTTCTTCGCCATCACTAGCTGTAAACTCTGGCGGAAATTCCTGCCAAAACAGCTCTCACCTGGACACCAGAGAGAGAGAGAGAGAGAGAGAGAGAGAGAGAGAGAGAGAGAGAGAGAGAGAGAGAGAGAGAGAGAGAGAGAGAGAGAGATATAGAGAAAAAGAAGGGGCGCCTAAAAAAAAACGTGGAGACGAACGTTGGAAAGTGAAATGAATGCGGCATCTCTAGCATGGAAAACTGCACTGAAGATTGCACAAGACAGGAAAGCATGGCAAGTCCTCTCGGAAGTCTTATGTGCCACTAGGTAAATACAGAACTGATGATGACTGAAACATCAGCATTGACGTAGCGCACTTCTGGACTGCAGACCTGTTCCAGAACCTGAGTGTTGCGTGTGCATACGTTTTACAGATCTAACTCATTTGTTTGCAGACTGCTGGTTCTTTGCCTAAAATGAAAAATGCACTCCGACTTTGAAGAAAGCTCCCAATAAGTCGACTCTTACTACGTGCTTTTGGGTAGGAAGTAGGTCTATTCTTGTTTTCCCTATAATAGGGCCCCGGAACCCACACGGATAATCTCTCTGAGTAATGTGATGTTCATTATTGGTTGACGCACGACCGGCGACAGCTGACGGGCCGTGCTGCTGACGTCGCCAGATCGGGCTAACGATGCATTGAAGCAGCAGTTCTCAAACTGGGTGCCGTGAGCGTATGCCAGGGTTGCCACAGCAATAATCAAGAGAAGTCGGCTAAAACATTAGGAACTTATTACAGAAGGCATGTAAATACCTAAAACTTATAATTAAAGTTGTCTTCCCTCGCCACTGTGGAAAATAGTTTATTTCTTGTTCTAGAACCACCGCGTTAACGCATCATTAGCCCGACCCGGTGACGTCAGCAGCATGGCCTGTCAGCTGGAGCCGGTCGTGGTCGACCCTGTCCTTTGTTGATTACCATAGTTTTTATTTTTGGTATGTTTGTGTCTGATCCATAACCCTCGCCCGCCTGTTGCCTTGATCTACTAGAACCTCTAACACATGCGCATTTTCTGCTAGTAACACTGTGGCATCAGCATGCACCAGATTGTTTATTACAGTTCCATTCTCCAACTTTTCTGTATGTAAGTTGACAAGGCTTCGGTATAACACACATCCTTGAGTATTCCTTCCTTTTTTATCTTTCTGTAGTTAGTCGATGTTGTTGTGTCTAACTGTTGCTATTTGTTTACACACAGACGCACATACGCTTCTAGATCGATGGAAGTTGTTCTGTCTACCATGTTAAAAAAAAAAAAAAAAGCATTCACACGGGACCTAAATGAGACGGTCAAAAGATAAATTCATGGACACAAGATGCGATGACTGGCATTGCTTGCAAATGTTCGTTGCAGGAAGGGTCCCTTTGGGAGTGTGGGCGATCATGGGTTAGGCAGGGAATAGGGATATGGGAGAACATAATTGCAGCCAGGATCACATTGAGCGTCTAGGAGAGAAACATGTCACATACATGCGTTGGCAATTTCGGTCTTTGAATTTATTCACATGGTGTGCAAGTAGAAGTGTGCATGGGGCACGTCTATGCGGTACCGGACACTGTGAGCCAGCAGTGTCGGGGTTAGCTAGCTCTTCCTTGAAAGGGGGTGAAAAGCGAAAATTAGTAGCCTGCCAACGACCCGTAAGAAATCCAAGTCAGCCTCCACCTCCAAGCCGTGCACACGGGGCTTTGGCTACTCTCGTGAGATGGCATCCATCTGGTTAAACTTCTTCTTCTTCTTCGTTCACCGGCTGTGAATTCCAGCGGAAGGTCTCGGTTAATCGTCCGCTTAGACTTTTGGCTTTTACCTGGACCTGAGTTTTGCGTGTACAACCGTTTTGCTGTTCCCTGCCTCGCGGGTAGATGTACTCCGACTTCGAGGGAAGGTTAAACTTAAAGTGCGACAGGCACAGCAAGCCGCCAGTGGATTAAATCTGCTTCCAAGAAACAATACAGAGAGAGGTAGATCACGCAAGCCATGAATCGATGGAATATCAGAGGCCGTATATACAGTATCTACTTAAAGCTACAAACCAAGAAACTAAAGACAGTATAACAAGGAGAGAATAGAAATGGCTTGGTCACGTTAAGAGAATGGACCCTAATATCCCTGCCACAACAGCTGTCACCTGGACACCAGAGACACCAGAGAGAGAGAGACATACAGAGAGAGAGAGAGAGAGAAAGAAAGAAAGAGAGAAAGAAAGAGAGAGAGAGAGAGAAAGAGAGAGAGAGAGAGAGAGAGAGAGAGAGAGAGAGAGAGAGAGAGAGAGAGAGAGAGAGAGAGAGAGAGAGAGAGAGAAAGACGGGGCTCCCAAAAAACAACGTAGAGACGAACGTTGGAAAGTGAAATGAATGATACATCTCTAACATGGAAAAATGCACTGAAGATTGCACAAGACGGGAAAGAACGGCAAGTCCTTTCTGAAGTCTGCTGTACCACTAAGTAAGAACAGAACTGATGATGACTGAAACACTAACATCTACGTAGCGCATACTAAGGTTCGCACCGGATGCCTCTTCGGGACTGAAGGTAAAAGGCAGAACCGGACTAGTAAAGAAGAAGTGGAAGAAGCAAAAGGAAAAGAAGAAAAAAGAAGGACGGGCAAGGGGTGGGGGTGGGGGGGGGGGCGCTCGATTGTCACAGTCACCATCGCTATGTACTGATTCCCTGCCTCACTATAGCGCAGCAAATCTTTTTCGTTTGGAAAAACAGAAAGTTGCCGATAGTGTGAGCTTATAAACACAACTTGGATACGTTTTGAGGTTACACTTTAACTATTGTTGCTCGTAAAAGAATGAAAGTCATCTGCAAAAGAACATTCTGTTGTCCATTTACGAGGTGGACAATTAGACCTACTGCCCTTTGAGCGTGTGGTAAAATGCAACTATTTGAGCTTTTGCTAGGGTCGGAGGTGTTAGGTCGAAAGGTTGATATCGCAGCCGATCTGTAAAGACAACTTGCTAACCGTAATTACAAGGGCCAACGCAGAAGCAGCAGCAACAGCAGTATTAGAAGAAGAAAAAGAAGAAGGTGATGATATTGATGGTGATGATGATGATGATAGTGATAATGATAATGATGATCATGATGATGAAGAAGAAAAAGTAACAGAAGAAGAAACAGAAGAAAATGATTAGGAAGAAAGAACTAAAGAAGAAAATGATTAGGAAAGAAAGGAAAAAGAAAGGAAGAAAGAAAAGAAAGAAAAGTAGAAAGGAAAAGAAAAGAAAAAGAAAGAAGAAAGAAAGAAAGAAGAAGAATAAAAACTAAAGAAAGAAAGAAAGAAAGAAAGAAAATGAAAGAAAAGAAGATAAAGGAAGAAACTAAATAATAAATAAGTAGAAGAAGAAGAAGAAAAAGAAAGAATTTAAAAAACGAAAAAGAAGAAGAAGAAGAAGAAGAAGAAGAAGAAGAAGAAGAAGAAGAAGAAGAAGAAGAAGAAGAAGAAGAAGAAGAAGATTTTGTTTTGGGTCTTTCAAACGTGGCTGTTAAATGCATTGTTGAAGTTAGTTTTACTGATTACATTTGTGAACAGTCGAGTCTCGACCGGAAAAGAACCAGAAAAAAGACAAATGAATATTTGCAAGAGAGCTCAAATGATTTTTCAAAATAACACAAAACGGGGATAAATAATGATGTACTGATAATTGACTGGTAATCATGTAAGATCTTAAAAGTTCATGCCGTGCCGTGTTGATATTGATGTCTATCCACAATGTTTTATCTGGTAGACTTTCAGTCAACTTTGTAACAGAGGATTCTCCCTGCCATGATATCAAACTTCCCAGCTTCTTCTCTCCCGATTTTACTTTCTTTCTTCCCCTCCAACTTTGCAAATCTCACCATGTAGTCCTCCAGCTTTATTTTTTTTAATGACTTGACCAAAGAATGTAGATTTCTCGGAACACGTAACGTAAGGCTCCCTAGGCCCTGCCCATAGATACATCAGTTTACTTCTGATTGGTAGCGCCTAAACCTTGTGCCTTTCGCACAAGGTCATAGGGGTGTTCCGCGATGCTGTTGATATAGCGTGTTGTATATTTCAGCACATTAGCGCTTTTAACACTCTAAAAACATGGAGAAACTGGCCCTAACACAACCCCCCTAGAAAGTGCTGCAACCTTTGTTACAGGCATTCTTTTTCTCGGAATGAAAACGTAAATGCAAGACAACGCAGAAAGCAAACAACTGAGCGGGACATACCCGTAACCTTCAGAAAAGTCGACCAGCCTCCCTAAAAAAAAAAAAAAAAACTATGAATAGAAAGTTACCTACTTTGTGGGGATTTACGTGAACCTAACCGATTTATAATTCTGATTGTGTAAAATAACTAGCGATTTATGACTTATTTTTTAAATCTGTAGAGCACATGACGATAAAGAATAATAATAAATTTAAAAAACAAAATCGTTAACCACTCAAGCAGTCCGGAGTCGAAGACTTAATTTCTCAAGCAGTTTTGCTGTTGTCTTGAGAATTGTCGTCCCCATGTAGTATGCAGATTTTAGCTATTTTGAAGCCCCATCCTGGCTTTTGGCGGGGACTTAGAATATAGCCGGGCCTTCAATATTGCCTAACGGCTGAACGGGGTTTCCAGGCTCTCTCCACGGGTGATCCTCATCAGCATGGTGGCACTTTGTGTCTCCGTGTGCTTATCGCTTGTGTGTTGTCCTGGTGGGGTCGCACTTCCCTACCTCCCTGCTGTTGTCTTGCTCATTTATATGCCGGTTTTGTCTGCTTAGCACGATGGCTGTTTTTATGGATTGATCTGCAG